AACACAACAGGTTAAAAAAACCTTGGGGGGTCCCGGAAAGGGGCCCCCCCCCCAGGGGAATCCCCCCCCGGAGGAAAAAACCCCCCCCGTGGCAACCAGAAACCCCCCCAGGGGCGGCCCCCCCCCAGGGGGGCCCCCCCCCCCCCCCCCCCCCACAACAGAGTAGCACAGCAGAACGGGATACACCACGCAGAAGCGGCACAAAACTACTGGCCAGGACAATTTACGGGAAACATCGCTAAAGAACGGACAGCAGTCGCGCGAACCTGCTCCAGGATGATCTTTCGGATGGCGAACCTCGACGCGAGCTCCTTGGCGTCCTTGCGGCGACGGCAAAGCCTCTGCAGCATCCTCGCCCCCCAGTCCCTCTCGGCCGCGATCCGGCGGCGAGTCGCCTCTACCCTGGCCGCCAGCTCGACCCTGAGCCTAGCGCTCGCCCACACCCTCTGGAGCCGGAAGGCCGAGAGCTCTCTCCTGTCGTTGAGTATCTGAACCTTCCGCTTCGCGAAGAGCCCCTCCAGGTGGAGCATCGCCTATGTTTGTTTTGTTTCGTTGACAGGTGTTGTGGTGTGGCTGGCGCAAGATGGTGCTGGAATGTTTTGCGGGCGAAGTACTGGGAGCGGATCGTATACACGCCGCCGCCGCCACCACCACCACCACCACCACCACCACCAACAACAACAACAACAACAACAACAACAACAACAACAACAACAACAACAACAACAAGAGTAATAGGGAGGAAAATAGGCAGACAGCAGCACAAAAACGCGACAAGAATGCAAGCGTCGGTCACACGGCGCACCTTCCGCTTCCTCCATGCATGTTGCACAGCCTCCGCCGCGCGCCGCTGACTTTCCTGCTGCTTCAGCACGGCGCGCGCCAGCTCGGATCCGGACAAACGCTTCGGAGCCCCGTCCTCCCCTGCTAGACAAACCACGCGGACGTACAGTTACTTACCATGTCAATTTTACCCTTGGCAGCTTTCCGCAAGAAATCACGCATCTCGGCCGCCTTCTTCATCGCCACCGCCTTACTGCCGGCCGACCCCATCGAGGATCGCGGAAGTTTTGGAGAGGGCGGCAGGCAATCTCGCCCGTCACTACCAAACTCCAAAGATTAGTTACCTTCGCTGTCCAAGAAAATCTACAACAGCGTTCTGCTGGGCGCCGAAAACAAAGACGCATCGAACACTTCGCCGTCATCGTCAGCTCATACTTGCAGACACGCTTGACACCACCTCAAAAAAACAAAACAACATCGCACCTCATCCCCACCGCAAAAACAAACACATCGCACCTACACCACCCTCATGGTCGCCGTCGTCGTCGTCGTCGTCGAAGGCCCCGGACATGATCTGGGAGAGCGACACCCCGCGCGCGGCGGCGCTCGCCCGCAGCCGCGCCACCACCTCCGCGGGCCGGACCGCGTCCCCCATCGCCTCGAAGTCCTCCCTGCCGGCGGCCTCGCGGATGGCGCGGGAGGGCTTGAACATGACCAGGCAGGCGGAGGCCAGCTCCGACCGGTTCCTCCGCTCGAAGTCGAGCTTGGCCTTGCGGGCGGCGAAGCGCTTGCTGAGCTGGTGCCGCTGGGCGCTTTTGCGGGCGAACGCCTGGAGGCGGGAGGCGGCGCTCTCGCGGGCCTTCTTGATTCGTTGTGCCGTCGCCTGATTGTGTGCGTGTGCGCGTGTCTTTGTTATTCGCATCGCCCACGCTAACCGGCTGACCAATGAAAGGACGTCAGTCTTAGTGCGGTTGAAAACACAAAACGTTTCTAAATGCCATCAACTGGGACCCAGTGAGGGGCGGTATGGGGGAGGCTAAGCTATTCTCCAGAGTAAATGTGTGCGTGTGCGCACGTTTAAGGGTATGACATCATACTCGTTGCTTTTTGTCTACGGACTTTGTCGGAAGGGTGATGATGGGGCTGTTTTTGGCTTGCCTGGTGATTTTGGTCGCCGAGGTAAGTCATTGCACACATTTTTTCTCTGCTTCATCCTCCGCCCGCCGTGCCTCGCCTTGCTGCCTCCCTCTCTCCAACTCTCCCTGCCAAGCCCCCCCCCCCCCCCCCTCCCTCTCCCTCTCACCAAACCAAACTCAACATCATACCCCACTACTCAAAACTCCCATCAAAAACTTATCGGAAACTAAAAAACTAAACTACAGAAAACAGAGGGTAAAATACTGCCCCCAAACTCACCACCACACGGTCGTCAATCTCAGCCTGCAGCCTCCGCCGCCCGGCCGCCCTCTTCCAGGCCCGCTGCACGTCCACCAGCGCCTTCATGCGGGCGAGGAATTCCAGCCGGGAGCTCTTGCCCCTCCACGCGTGCGCTATCACGGCGTGGGCGGCGTTGAGGACCCGGCGGTGCTCCGCCAGCTCCGCCTCGTGGGCGAGCCTCAGGGTCTCGTGCCGCGCCCTCAGCTTGGCGATGACGGCCCTCTGGGAGCGATCCAGGCACGCCGACAGGAAGCCCCGCGCCATCGGAAGGATAACAACCCATCTGAGTTTTCGTGTCGTGTTAAAGGGAGGGGGGGGGGGGGGTGCACTCGTTTGTCAAGGGCGCGCGCGCATCCGTCGCGTGGTTTCAGGCCACTGTCGACCCTCTCGCCCATCGATCGATAAGCTGGGCAGCCTACGTGCCGGTTTCGGACCGGTGCGTGGCACTTGCGAAGGTGGTGGTAACAGAGACGCTCTTGTTTCAAGGGTGTTGTTCGTGTTGGCGCCAGCAGAGGTCGTCGCAAGCAAGCGACGCGTGCGCATCTGAAATAAAAGTCATTCGGACAGTACTGAATATTGACCGTCCCAAGCTCGTATCGTGTTTGCGTGCGAGACAAACCAGAATGGGCAGGCAGACAGGCAGGCAGACAGGCAGACAGGCGGACAGGCAGGCAGGCAGGCAGGCGGACAGACAGCCAGACAGGATACTCTGCTTCGCTTGGAATTGTTTGAGGCCTGTTAATGGTAAAACTCGTGACGATGCGCTCAAAAGAAAATGAGGTGTAGAATCACCCCCCGCCGCTCCAACGCACAACAGAGACGGCGAGGCGCGCACGTAATCGGGCTTCCTGAAGCTCAAAAGATCAACCCCCAAATGTGACGAAGGAGTCAACGAAAGGATAGGTTGGGTAGAGGAGTTGAACATTGAAGAGTAGCATGGAAGATCTATTGCTTACCAAAGGGAGATTGGGAAGAAAGAAAATATCCTAGAAAGTCATAGAGAAGAAGATATTGCTAAACGACGAACTTTCAACGGGTTGAACGAATACTCTTGTCATTGACACACGTACCTCCTGGCCTGCTCCGCAAGCCGGCGGCGGTGCAACTCTTGCCGCTCCATCTCCGCATACTCCAATAATTGGCACCTGGTTTTGCGGGGGCGGACCGCACATCGGAAGAAAATTACGACGGAGAGCAGAGCGCCTTTCATCACTCCGTTGACTGCCAAGCAAATGACGTCACCCTCTGATGCGTGAACGTTTGTGCCTCTCTACTCCTCAGGCAGCTGGTACCCAAACGATTCCAACAGCTGGTCCTCCGCAAAGGGGTTCGAACCAATTCCATCCCCTTCCCCCTCATCCCCGGCATGCGCGATCCGGGGGGCCACACACTTGTATGAACCTTTTTTGCGCTCAGGAATGAACGGTCCTGGTATGCACACGTCTAAATCAACCGTGGCAATGCCATGAATGGAGTGGAGTGAGTGCGAGTGCGAGTGCGAGAGAACACACCAACCAGTGCATACAAGGACCAAGCAAGAAACGAAAAATATAGCATTAATGCGTGCTGGTAGCAGCGCTACGTAAGTGTTCATACATGATACCCTCGTGTCTTGCCTTCCGACGTGCCGCAGCCACGCGTCTTGCAACGCCGTGGCGGCGCGATGGTTGGCCTCGTAGCGCCTCTTTTCATCCACGAGGCGCAGCGTTCGCCAAAGCGTTTCCCTGCAAAGAAGGGGGACAATGGGCAGGACGAAACCATAAAGTAAGAAGCAACGCAATACATTACTCGTGAAAAACTTGTGACCCCGTTGTAAAAGAGCGACAGACTTGACAGTATCGCCTGGTAGGGATTTTGGTCTTACCGTTCAAACCCATGTCGGACACCCAAGTCACTGACGTTTCACAGTGTGAAATTGTTCTTCCCCCGTCACCGTCTTTGGGCTATGAATGTGCCATTCATCGCCTCTGCGCGCACCCGCCACTCACCAAATGCCATAGGTTTCACCAATGCTTAGTCCTCAACCCTCTAAATAGTTCACATGCTTCGCCCACTTGCTCTCTCTTGACCGTTTCTCACTCCCTCCCCATGCAAACTGGCGCTTGACATGCGCTCTCTACTGTACCCCACACGTCGTGCAACCGGCTGTGACGAACTCCGTTGATGACCTTCGATTGTCTTCGAAGCTCAGCACCCCGGCGACGGCATCCGCCTTGTCTCGGGCAAGAGCGTTCCTCCGGCGCTCTCTCTGCTCCAGAGCCCTGCGCCGTCGCCGCGCCGCCAGACGCCTTCGCGCCCACCGCTGGATCTTGATAGCCCCCACCCTGGCGCGGTGCTGTTGTTGTTGGTGGGGGTGGGGGTGGTGTTGCTATTGTTATTGTTGTTGTTGTTGTTGTTGTTGTTTTTTTTTTTTTTTTGTCGTGGGCATTCGTTGCAAAGCACGTGGTGATGAGAACGTGCGGTTGCGACTAAACCTAAGCCCGAAACACAGTGTCGTGGAGCATTTTCCCTACAAACTAGCAGCCACGGACGAATGTAAAACGCTCCGAGAACACACCTCATCCTCGGCCAAGCGCGCCAGCCTCACGCGCTTTCTCCACCCCAAGAAGCGCCTCCTCGCCTGCTTAAGCTCCCACCGCTTCCTGATAGAGGACAGCGTGGCGAAAAGCCTGGCGTGCTCGTACCTGAAGAAGACGCCACCGTTTCCGCCGGCGGAGTGTCATTAGCAAACAGCGGACACACGAGGAACCGGACAGGGCAGCGCAACATAAGAGAGAGAAAAAAAGCAGATAAACGCGTCAATTCGAGAGGCGAATGGGGGCGTGTTTTATCGGGCAGCCGCCTGCAGGGAAGATATGGCGTTGTGATGTCATAAAATCGTCTCTGAACCAAGGTGTCCTCATTATCATGCACGCCCAAAGTACGCCGGGATTCCGCCGACCGGGCTGGCATTATGAGACGTAGGGGCGGGGGCCGTCAGCGGATGTTTTCTGTTGGTTTAATGTCTTGAGTCTCTGGGGCGCCTTCATGCCAACGGCGGCTCGGCGGCGTTTTGCCAAATAGCGACCTGAAGGGGTGGCTTAGGGCTTGGTGACTGCCTTCAGCACGTTCTTGGAAGTGAAGCGTACAAAAGCAAAACGCTAGTTTGAATATGGTGTGACCGGCCACAACCTTTGAAAGGAAACAGCTGCTGAATAAACTAGACGTTGCACTGACCAAGCGAAGACACGTCCCGGAGCCACGTTTGAACAAGAAACAGCGCAGACTATGCGCCGGTCGGAGTGAAACTAACGGGGGGAGGAACTTAGTGTACGAAAGGACGATACAGGTGCTCCTCCAGTCCGCCCCCGATAACACGCACACGCACACACCGGAGCATGTCTTCAGCGAACTCGTCGGCGCGGGCTTTCTCCAAGGCCCGCGCCCACCTCGACAGCGCGACGGTCTTGCTCCAGCGGTGCGACTTCCCGAGCGCGGCGCACATGCGCGATAGCCTCGGCTTTCTGCAAGCGTTGATATTTTCGAGAGGAAAGACACGAGCCGGGGGTTTCTCGACGACAACGGGGGGGGGGGGGGGGGGCACCGGCACCCCAAAGTCCGGCCCCCCCCCCGCCGGGAACGGCGGGACCCGGGGCC